ACAAGATTTTAGGACGAAAAATACAAAATGGCCGTCTTAACATTTATCCAGAATGTCGAAAAACTAATCAGTTCTAAATTTTCATAGGTAGAAACATCCCTGAGAATTTCAAATGAATCCCTCAAACGGTTTGGCTGGAAACCTGTAGTCAAGCCTTGACAGACAAGATTTTAGGACGGAAAATTTAAAATGGCCGCCTTAACATTTACCCAGAATGCCGGAAAACTAATCAGTTCTAAACTTTCATAGGTAGAAACATCCCTGAGAATTTGAAATGAATCCCTCAAACGGTTTGGCTGATAACCTGTAGACAAGCCCTGACTGACAAGATTTTAGGATGGAAAATCCAAAATGGCCGTCTTAACATTTATCCAGAATGTCGAAAAACTAATCAGTTCTAAACTTTCATAGGTAGAAACATCCCTGAGATTTTCAAATGAATCCCTCAAATGGTTTGGCTGGAAACCTGTAGACAAGATTATTCGAGATGCCCGTCGGCCCAACCGCCCGCCCAGCAAACTGATTACAATAAAGCACCTGAGGGTGCGATAAAATTAATCCATCCAAGTAATTAACCACGTATTTATTGAGAGATATACATTTTAATACATGCAGTGCTTCCTAGTCAACTCGTACCCAAGACAACTCGCACCCAAAACAACTTGTACCCAAGACAACTGGTACCCAAGACAATTCATACACAAGTTTATTTTCAGTATTATTGGTGCATATTAGGAAAACAAATTGAGTCTGCATAATAATGTTTTATTGTTATTATGTAAAGCAAATAAGCCTCAATATTTTTTCTGAATTTAGAAGACATTTTTCTCAATGGATTAAGCAAAGCATTTTGTTTTAACTTGGATCACCTTTTTTAAATAAAAGAAGTGCTTTGAAAGGCTTGTTCTCGACTTTTTTGTCATACATATATAAACCCTAATGCTTCATTAGGAAAATGGGAGGAATATACCACACACTCTGTGCTATTTTTCATGCCTGTTATTGCTCCACCCACATGTCACTGTCAACCAATAGTATGCTTGTTGTCTTTCCTAATCTCACACCATGCTGAGGATCATACCCTCTGTTCCATATCTTCTTGCTTCATACTGTTGGAAAACAGTCACCAGAATTCCATTTTACGTTCAATCAAACTATCATATAAAATACCATAATTAATTAACTAATATATATTTACATTTACTTCTTTACTTTTCTACAAATAAATCAAACAATTAATTTAGCTAAGTGCATTTAGATAAAGTTAATAAGGGAAGTTTAATCTGTTAATTTCTTTTCCATTTTGAACATAATTGGATCATATTTGAGCGCATGCATACAAAGTGTATAATATCATGTATGAATAATATAATATTATTTAGAATTATGTTACTGCTAAATGTGGCTCTAAGAATTAACATTCTTTAATCTGATAATATGAAATCCTAAATGTCTGTTAAATAAGAAATTAGGCCCAAGTATTGATAAATCTTTATATTTTTAATAAAACCATCTTGAAGATGTGACACTTGTTCCAAACACTCATAAACATACAAAAATACCTCTAATATTTTGAACAATGATTATGAATATGTGGAATAAACACACATTTAAACCCATTCCAACACTTGATTGAAAACAAAACATAAACTTGGGTACGAGTTGTCTTGGGTACGACTTGACTTTGGTACGAGTTGTCTTGGGTACGACTTGACCAGTGAGCTTCACAGGGAAAGTGAAAGTCAGATTTCAGGGGTCATGTCATAAGTTCAGTTGCATTAAACGTTTATTATAACTGATAAATCAATAGTTTCAAAGCTAAAAACATCACTGTGCTTTTTAGAGAATATAGCAACATTAAAATAATTTCAAGATGCTTTTATTTGTTATTCGCTGTGGATAACATTTATTAGAACTATGCCACAAAGTATATTATCTTGTACTGAATATTACATGTATTGATAGAACAGTTGATTGAGCAGTTTAAGTAGTCTCAAAGAGACCCTCCTTATAGTAAGACCGGCACACAATTATGTGAGCTTTGCCAGATGTTGTCGTGGGTGGCGAAAAAGTGTACCTATAACCTTAAAAACCTTGATGTGACCAATCACATGCTCTACATAACACCGCCTACTCCCAATTTTTCTGTTTAGCCGCTAAATTGTTTACGTAAATTTAGGGGTTTTCTGCGTATTTCAGAACTTTTATACTTCCTAAGGAGTGGGTATCGACATGGACATATTTTATCAGCTAAAAGTCTACAGTCTTCATTGAATACTAAAGGTCCCCCGGGCCCAATATTTGCCATATAGCCAAATGTTTGTGCATCATTCATATGACCTAAAAAGCCACTTTGGACATAACGAAGGTCATTGTTATTATCTACTATTACTTGGGTATGCATACAATGGTATCCTCTATTTCCAGAGTAAAAAAGTGCTTGGGGTTCATTTTCTGGCCTGTTAATTTCATGGGATGTTCCATCAATAGAGCCAATTGCAAATGGGAGATCATTCTAATTATTCCTTATTGCATTTCATTCTTCAAGATCGAGATGGCCAGCGTACATTGGATGCATATAGTTCCCATAATATTGGCCAAACGTCATTAATGCCTCGTGACACAGTTGTAATGCTAACATCGAACATCAGGGAGAGTAGAGGATAACAAGGGTACGATCTGATTCTCAGCCAGATCAATGTGAGGAGTAGTTTATTGTGAGGTGACATGTTATGTCGCATACCAAAAGTTCAAGGCAGAAAATTACCAACATGAAATGTATTAACTGTTTCACCAACAGTTTCAAAAAACTCATATGGGTGTTTTTCAAATAATCCAAGGACATCTCGTCCTTGCCAATTGTTGTTATCTGCGCCCAATCTGTTACGAAAATTTAACAACGGATCTGGAGGAGGCACCAATAAAAACAATAGGGTTGGAATTATCTCACTTTGAAGGCCTTCCGGTGGTGGTGCAGCTAGAAACATAAGCAATGCAACTAATGCATGTTTCTCTCTTAGGCTCAAAGTGCGCATTCTACTGAAAATTCAATCATAAAAATACTTCACTATTTTTGACATTCTCCCTGAAAAAATTGCCTAAACAACTCAGGATCTATTTCAAAAGCTTCAATGGGTATATAGTATGTAAGTAGACTATATATAGTATTTGTATGTATACAATACATTCATTGAAGTATTTAAAGGGGACCACCATCATGGTCACATGATCAGTCGTGTGGAGGTAAGCTCCCAGTTGAAATAAAAGCACTGTCCTCCTTTGGTTTATGTGAAAAGTAGCTAATACCCTCATGTATTGGTCAGTTTGTGTGTCACACGACAAATCCCCCTCCACCTTTTTTCTGCCATTTCTGAGAAAAAACACCGCACATCGCGCGCATCCATGGCGTGTGAAACACTTTTTTACTTTTTATGGATCAGGATAATTGACAATATCGTGGTACTGATATATGGTCAAATATACCAGTAAAGTAGGCTAAATTCAACATATAAATTCAACATAAACTCAGTTTATTTCCTTCAAAATTAGTTATTTGTTTTTACAGTTATTTTAAAAAAAAAATCATCCCGTCCTTCATCAGCATTTTAGATAGACAAAAAAGTTAATATAAAAACCGTCATTCCCGTATCAATTTTGAAAAATAGAAGAGTAACAACTGATTTAATTACCCTGGCCTAACATAAAATACAAAACCACTTGCTAGCTCATACAGTATACTTACCCCTTGCAAATTGTAATTTATTGAATTCACAGTAAACCCATCAATTTAAAAAACAAAGAACATTGTTCTCATGGATCTATTATTCATGTTAAACTAGCTATAAAAATATAAATATGAAATAATATTTTAGCTTGAAGTCATATATAAGATGAAAATAAATGTTCATGCATTTGCATTTTTTCCAAAGGGAATATATTCCCATGTAAGTAAATACAGGCGCAATATATAATTTATATGTATATCTATGTCATCTGTCTATACATGCGCGTATACAGTAGTGATACATTTGAACAAGATGGTTCTGGAAAGAAATGAGCGTGGCAGATTTGCTAAAAAGTCACATACACCACAAAAGCAAGACCAATTTGAAAGTAAGTTCATTATTCTCAAGGGTGCACTTAAAGTGAAAGCTACATTGCTACAGGGTGGCCTATCATTCTGAGACAAATGTATTATCCAACGATTGTGAATTTCGAAGCTAAAATATGATATCTTGAGCAGATGGAAATACATTCCCATGAAATATGTATATATAGTCAAAAGTGATAACTATTTATTGAGTGTAATGAAACGTATCCTTCGCTAACTGCTTTTGTTTGAGATAATTATCATGAAATATTTTTAAATTAATTTCTATGTATGTCATTGATCCTAATCCACCCTTTAGTCTGGTGTTTGTAGAGCATTGCACCTCGAACAACTTATTCTCACAAATATCAAACATCATTTACTAATTAATTTTTTGTGTGAATATGAAGGGTCCAAGCATTGCTTTTTCATGTTTACTGTATAACTATATTTAGCCTTGATATCCATGATTTTTTAAAACAAAACCTCACCGTTAGATTTCGAGCTATTCATGTTTACTCATTTTTCTAATTGGAAAACAATGCAAATCTCATTTTTTCAATCAAACACTTATTGCCTTCTTCATTGATGTTCACTCTTCACAGGAATTGACTGTAAAATGTCGGAACAGAAAGGTATGTATTTATTATTGTTTATGATTCTCTTGATAATAATTGAGTCTAGATAAATAAATATGTATTTGTTTACCCGTTTTTGTAGAGTTTACATGAAACGTATCCACATTTGCTGATAAGGTTTCCTTGTTTCATGCATGTGCAATATTGTGTGTATATATCACACATGATTGTAAGGGGTAATATCAAGGATCCCTGGTAATATCATATTATTTCATTACATACAATTTTTCAGGAGAGGAAGAAGAATAGTGCAGTATTATTTACAAAAGAAGAGAAACTACTCCTATTTGCAATGACTTCGTACTGTAACAGTGCTTCACATCTGTCTAACTATTCTATCTCCTGTATTTTTCAGTGCTGTAATCCAACAGGTGTTGGCAATGGAGTTAAAATATGCCAATAAGTCACCAAAATGATCCCCTCTAACAACAAATGTTCCTCAACCCCCAAAACCCAAGGAAGATGGTCAGCCAACTATTACCCAAGGGCCTGCCAGAGTTCAATCAAGCCAAAACCATCAAAAGGACGTAAAATTCAACCATCTGCTACCCAAGGGCCTTCACATGTTGCACCAAGTCAAGGACCATCAAGAGGACGAAAGAGGCCCATTCTTTTTGATGTAGATGAGCTAATGAGTGAGGATAGTAATGACAACTACAGGGATACACTAATGGAGCAAGAATCATCTAGAAGTGATGAAGTGACCAAATCAAACAAAAAGAAAAAAACAACGACAAAAGGAAAGCCTAAAAAGAAGATAAGTCGAACAGAGATAACAAGAAACAATCAATTGAAATACGTTTCATGGACAAAAAAATGCCAAAGATATTAAACCAATTAGGTATTGAGTTATCTTCATCTGAGTCTGAGAGTAACTAGTGGAGTTTACAAACGGATAAAATTCTGAAATAAAGGATCTTGTACACCTGCCATTATGATCTCCCCATGAACAAAAATAAATTCATCTGGTTTTTCAAAATAAATATACTGCTTTTATTATTACATTTATATGTACACTAGTATCTTGTTGACCTATATTCAGCACTGTATTGATGAATGGGCCACTTTTTAGGGCAATATTCAATCATAAAGTGTACAGGGGTAGAGATGCCAAACCAGGAAGTATTTTTGTGTCTGTCAAAATCCATTTGCATCCTACACATCCCTGCATCTTATCAAAATATGTTATTAATTAATGAATCATAACAGCATAATCTTTGGATTTACAAAGTTGTATGGGATTTCATAAGTGTAAAAGTTGCTTTTGAAGCATTTTTCTATAGCCATTTTGTAGGAAAAAATGATGAAAAAATGAATAATCTTTAATTTGAAGTATGACCTGAATCGATTGCAAACTTTATATTTGCACATCTGATCTGAAATACCATTTGTGTCATATTGTGAAATTATTTAATTTGCAATCGATTCAGGTCATAGTGTATTTTAGGTATTTTTGTGAAAATCAATAGAAACCAATGGCCTCCATTGGAATCGGATGGTATCCACACGTTAAGTCAATAGAACACATCCAATGTCAAGTCAATACACCCTTGCTGAACTTAATGACCCCAACCTCAGCCAATGTGGGGCCAAACGCTTAAATATTTTCCAAAGTATTATGTAACATTGTATTCTTTATATTACACCTAAAAATGATTCATTTTGTTCATGGGGAGATCATAATGGCAGGTGTACAAGATCCTTTTGGAAATAAATTGTTGTTTCTTTCTAAACCCTTATGACATGACCCTTGAAATCTGACTTTCACTTTCCCTGTAAAGCTCACTTTCAGATTCCGAATAGCTGAAACATCCCTAATAGAACAATTTTCAACAACCCTGGCTCGAGATATAACCATTTATGTGACATGGGGGTCAAAAAACACCTTCTCAATTTTTATCGATTTTGCGAGCAATAGCCTATTTCTACAAAATTTTACTGTTCATAATTATGTTTCAACACAAAATTATTTGATCAGTTATCTAAACAGAAATATGAAATATTATAGAATACACAAATACCAAATACAATCTCATAAATAACAACTGTAAAGAGTACAATTAAGAGCATTGTAAGTGGATTAAATATCAGCCACAGTGTATAATTAAGAGATAACAGTAGCATTAAAAACCAGTTAGTGCACCAGCACAATGGTTGATTCAGAACATAGTCAATGAGCATTATACATTATTCATAAATAACAACTGAAGAGTGCATTAAATTATTGTTTGGCTCATGAAATTGAATTAAACATCAAAGTAAAATGTACAAGTAAAAGCATTGTAAGGCAAAACAATCAGTGAATAAGTATCAGTGTACAAAGAACGTGTAAATTTTATAAATAAAAAAGAAAAACCAGTAGCATTAAAATACTTCTCCTTTGGATTTTGTTGCAAGATCACCATATTTTTTCTACAACAAACATTAAGTGGATTCCTCAATGATCTTGCTACATGTACATGGTTTTCAATTATAAGACATGCACTGTTAATCAAATACAGCGGTCTCATTGTCCCCTATTAATACAATATAGAGCAATCAGACTAGATTAAAACTGGTAACTTTTAAACCATTGTTTTATAGTACTTTATTATTTACATTTGGCACAAATAAATACATATTCTAAAAATCCAACAGCCGATGTCGGCTTCTGAGACACTGGACTTCAAAGATCAGTAATAACAGTGTTTGTATAGAAATGACATTCAACAATAGAGACAGGTAAAACTACAATTCATCTGCAAGTACAATAATGCATAGATTGTAAATTGTAATAATTCCATATATATATTATACAGGACGGCTTTATTGTAAATTGACTACTCAGAACATAGACATCAGTAACTCGGCACGCAAATTGTTCGCTGTCAACCACCTGTGCGCGTGTCACGGACAGTTAGTACTTGCGCCTCATAGCTGGAACTGCCGAAAGACCTATTTGTGAGGCCTTACAAAGAAAAGATTTTCGCTCAAAAACGTTTGGGGCCATAGGGCGGGCCCCATGGCCCCGCCTCCCTGGTTCCGCCAGTGTATATATAGCAAACGAAATAGTTCACAAATGAATTCAGCTGTTGGGAATCATGCAGGATTCATAAAGCAAATAGTCTGCTAAAACGTCCTGAATATCCCTTACCAATTCACCCTCATGTTCATCGGTAATTTTAAACTTTGTTTTTAACCTCCACATTGAATTATTGTCTACTAGCCAGGGACGGAGGTAGACTATAAATCTAGTAAATTTAGTAAATCTTGTAAAACTTGTAAGTCTAGTAAATCTTGTAAAATCTTGTAAAAAGTTGACTATTCAATGTCTAAGATATGAAGTCAAAATGTCAAAAAGCACTTAAAATGCCTTTGTTTGAATGAAATGAACATGTAGAAAAAATTTGCATTTCTTCATTTCTAATATTTGATCTCCAATAACTCTCATATACATTATAGATAAGTTATGATATATTTTCTTCAAGTTATGGATAGCACTTTCCAGGGTTACTTAGTATTTTGAACGATACCATGTATAAGTTCCGAGGATTCATTTTTTATAATGTCAATTTAACAGATTTCATCGTCTTCGTTTCTACTCACTGCGGGTGTTCTATTCAACACAATTGATTCGGTACAAGTTCACTTGGTGCCCATGATACTAAAACCTATAATAAACATCAATTAAAACAAATAACAATGAATCCGCCTTTCTGATTACATTTTGCCAATGTATTGCCTGACTTTATTACTTCTGATTTAGCCAATATGATACAATATTGATTTGAATTACTTTCATAAGTGTAAGTCCATTACATACAAAATACGTTGTTACTTATCAAAACGCGTCGTCGTAATGGCAAATGCGGAGGAGGGGGATGCGTGGGTTGGAGTGACCCCCCATTGGTTGTCTTCCTCTTTTTGTATATGTTTCTCCCGAATAGTTATGTAAGAGGGGTTCTAATTATAATATGCTTTCGGTTTGGGGTTGTGTTGGGGTTTCTGTTTTTACGTTAACATGAAACAATTATTTTACCCTTTCGCTACTAGGTTGTAGATAATGCACGAATCAAATAACATGGATTTTGGTCATGTCATGTCTTGTCATGTCTATTTTCTAAAAATCACAAAAGTGCATACTTTATTCCAGGAAAATTGAATTTGTATAGATTAATTAACGTTCAAGTCTCTTCTTAACTTGTGTTTTTAATGATCTATCACGTAAAGAAAATAAAATTTGACTTTTAGGAATAAACAAATCGATGGTCGTATGGAAATACATAACCAACGGGACACGTAATAAAACATACTCAGTAATGAAAAGTGCTTCAATCATACAATAGAAATCAAAGAATACAATACCCCCTGTATTCACTATTGTCTCCCATTCCCGACAATCTCTCAATGTCAGTGAGTTTGCTTCTGTTTCCCCCGTTTTGAAATTGAAATATGTTGCCACCAATGTTAAGTACGCAAATAGAGGCTGTTTAAAAATGAGACTAAAGGCAAAAATATCTTTATTTATAGATTACAGTATATACACTCCCCTCCATAAGTTTGGCAACCTTTTTTCCCCCATTAAACTACGTGTTAAAGCCTCTTTACATTTGAATTTTTATTTACTTAACCTGCGATGAAAATACTTATACTATTGATGGAAACGTAATTTGACTTTAATTCCAATACCTCCAAATTTTCTCAATTTTTGTCCTCAATTACAATAGGTCGAAAATTGATGATAAATTTGATGAATTTTTGAAAATCGACATTCCCATGTTAACCAATGGGAAATGGTAGGTTTGCCGCAAGTCATATGACAGAATATCCATCCATCCGAGTCCTTGCAAAAAATACGAGTTAGGCAGGCAATTGAATTGCTAACTTTATTTAACAAAAAATTGATATGTTTCTTCAGGTTCAACAAAGTTATAGGGCTTGAAAGTCAAAATTGTTTTTCAAAAAAACTCTCCCATTGAAATAACACAGGAGGCGAAAAATTATTTTCAAAAATGACTTTGAAGCGCTGTAACTTTAATATTCATCAAATAAACTAAACACTTAGTGTTCAAAAAAGTTAGACAATTCAATTTTCTATATAAAAATATTTTTTGCTGAATCTTTTACTGAATAGATATCCTGATTTCTGATTTGCCCCGAACCCTTCATTTCCCATTGGATTACATGGAAATGACGATTTCCAAAAATTCATCAAATTTATCATCAATTTTCGACCTATTGTAATTGAGGAAAAAATTGAGAAAATTTGAGGTATTGGAAATAAAGTCAAGTTACGTTTCCATTAATATTATAAGTTATTTCATCGCCGGTTAAGTAAATAAAAATTCAAACGTAAAGAGACTTTAACACGTAGTTCAATGGCGGAAAAAGGTTGCCAAACTTATGGAGGGGAGTGCACACTTGGATACCAATGAGTACTTAAACCTCTTAAAATGGTTAAATATTCATGTTGTCTTCATTGAAGTTCAGGATAAACATTATATTCCCTTGTTTGGGAATTATAGTTTTAAAAATGTTCCATAGGTATATGGGAATATGTTACCCCTCCCTCTTATATTTCATATCTGTAGCCTATATTAATAGAGAGAATATTAGAGAGAGAGGGGAGGGGAGACATCTATTTTTATCACTATGCCTTTGTAGCCAATCGTTATACAATTATTAGAATTAAAGAGAGAATCAGATATAGCGAGCAGACTAAACAAAAAAAGTTTCAATTTTAGAATATTTTTGGCTCATGTCATTCCTTGTCATGTCTATTTTCTAAAAATCACAAAAGTGCATACTTTATTCCAGGAAAACTGAATTTTTATAGATTAATTAATGTTCAAGTTTCTTCTTAACTTGTGTTTTTTAATGATCAATCACGTAAAGAAAATAAAATTTGATTTTTAGGAATAAACAAATCGATGATGGTACGGAAATACATAACCAACAGAACACGTAATAAAACATACTCAGTAATGAAAAGTGCTTCAATCATGCAATCGTAATCGAAGAATACAATACCCCCTGTAATCACTATTGTCTCCCATTCCAGACAATCTCTCAACGATGTCAGTGAGTTTGCTTCTGTTTCCCCTGGTTTGAAATTGAAATATGTTGCCACCAATGTTAAGTACGCAAATATAGGCCGTTTAAAAATGAGACTAGAGGCAA